CTTCTGTTCTGTTCCTTGCTTTGCTTTTCCAGTTAGCAATCTTAAGTGTTTTTAGATCTTGTTCCACTTTTTCCATGTCTCTGGAGTCTTCCTTTGACCTTCTCCCTACTGGTGTTTTCCTTATTATATATTTTGGTGTTTCAGTATCAAACATCCGTTCAACATGGCCCATCCGATCTTTATGGATGTTATGATCTAGGGTTTATTGTATGCTGTGTATAGTTCAAAGTTATATCTTCTGTGCCATATGTAATTTTCCTTTACCCCCTTATATATGTGTCAAAATTTTTCGTTCAAATGTACGTAATATATTCTCATCGCTTTTCGACAGTGTCTATGTCTCTGATCCGTATACAAGGACCGGTTTTATCACGGTCTTGTATATTTTGCATTTGGTTTTTCTTATAATTAGTCCAATATATGGAAATTCGTGGATTTTTTTCAAAAAAGAAATACCAAACCTAAACAAAATTTTACAAGAAGTTAGAGACGACCCGGATTTGCCTCACATCGGACGAACTAAACTGTGGCAAGTTTTAAAAGAATTGGATTTCTGGTGGAAGAAATTAGACCGAAAATCACTTTTGATTGACCGAAAGGAGATAATATGTTGGAGAAGAAATTATTTAAGATCCATACGAAAATTCCGGGTTAAAGAAAGGCCAATCTTCTACCAGGATGAAACGTGAATAAACTCAGGTCATACTATAAAAAAAATTTGGTCAGATAAAAATATATTAAGCTCCAGGCAAGCCTTTATAAAAGGTTGGTCTACTGGTATCTCTCCACTTTCTGGTAAAAGCAGTAGATTAATAATTTCTCACATTGGCAAAGAAAAAGGATTTGTTAAGCATGGTTTGTTGGAATTTCAGTCCAAAAGTACGATTGAACTGCATTTGAAATAGTGGACCAATATAAAACTTAGACAAAAATAAATCCATACCTGGGTTTAGACATTGTATAAAATATCGTTCAACTATCTGTCTCGCAACAATGTTGTTTGCGTAACAATGTTGCCAATCGCCGTGTAATAATTCGATTTGCGGATCTTTTTGAGAGTTATATCTTCTTCGTATCTTTAGATAAATAGGATATTTGCCTATATTTTTCATTGTATTTACCAATCTACTACAACAGACTAATAACAAAAATAAACTTAATGGATTGTAGTTATTTTCTTTTTTTCTTGTAAATATTTAATGGATAACACCTTATTTGAGAAACATCTAAAGGAATGAGGTTGGCAACACTGGTCAAAGAAGGGCTTGTCTAAGGAAGCGATAACTGGTTTGACAGCATAATAAAATCGTAGATTTATGTGTAGCTTTAAATTTTTATGATTTCAGAATCCAGCAGCCCGCTAAGTATTTAATTTTTATAATATAATTATTTAACAACCTTTTATTGGCCAACCACCTACAGCAAAATTAAGCCGAAATACATAATATTTCGTACGTTCCGAATTTATTTCGTTCAATCTGTATAAGGTAAGTAATAGTAGTTGTAATCGTGAGGTAATAAAGAGGAAAGGAGCAATATGTCGACTGTCAAAATGTTCAATGTGTTTTAAATGTATCCATTTGTTTTTTTCAAATCCTGTGAAAACTAAAAAGCATTTTTGAAAAATTTAAAGACAGAATGAAATATTTATTATAGTAAATAAAAAATTTCTTTTTATGCATGCAATATTTTCAATTAAAAGGTATACTATAGTTTCTCTTTTATGTTCATTCCTATTACATAACATATTAAAATAAATATTCTAGAAGTTTTCAGGGACTTTCTGCCCTCAGTAATAATGTAATCTTTCATTCTGCGTTTAAATTTTTCAAAAATATTTATTAGTTTTCTCTGGATTTGAAAATAATGGATACATTTAAAACACATTGAAAATTTTGCCAACATTTGGCGCCTTTCCCCTTAATTAAATGAACGTATCTTTTACAAATGGCAAGAAACTTTTTATTTTTGAATAAAATAAAGAAGTTTTATTAAAACAAAAATACAATTTACATAAGTACTATTTAAAAAATATATTTATTTAGTTCAAATAAATGTTTCAATCATATACTCTACGACACTGGTCGGTCTGTAACGAAAATACCTTCATAATCGAATTATAAGGTTGATTGCTGTATTGTATTTCTTTAGGTACAAGGTGGGTTAGTCAAAAACATCTTAAACCGTCAGTTTCAGGTTGGTTTTTACTATTATATCGTGTTACCTATCCTCTCTGTATTTCAGTTCTCTAATTAGGATTAAACTTGTAGTGAGCTATCGGCAAATTGTGAACCGATTATAGTAATGTGTTTTCTAATATTACCTGGAGGAACAAAAAAACTAAAAATATTTTAAAAAGTTGTAATAACAAAATCGCCTTTTGGAGACATAAAATACCCCGCACGGTCACGGAAAGGTTAAGTGCGATTTAATTTTCACGTTTACCGGATCATATTTTCATATAAAACTACTCTGAGCATCGTTGCGTTATTCAAATAAATGCTCTTGTCTGGTAAGGAATAGGCAACGATCAATTAAGAGAAGATCCAAGATCCAGGGGTCCTCGGAGGCAACTGGGAGTCTCATCCTCTTCCTCGCATCGTCGTAGCGTCCTTATTGGTAGTATTATTACGAGTCCCGAATAACAGGTGTATTATACAAGCACAAAGCACTGTTAATTCCTATGTGTATGTACGAGCGGCACATTGTGATCCACATTGTGAAGTTAATTAGTTAACCGTTCTGCAGACTAAATCGAATTATCATTTTAAACAGTTTGGAGTTAATGAAACGTTCTGTCTGTGACACGGCGCTTAACAATAAAGGTGATGATCTTTGTCTTGATTACAAGATGGAGAGAAAAGTTAGGGTTGTATCGTTACACGAAGCGATACGGTTACAGACGTTGTCGAGGGAGACTGACGATTACTTTGAAGCGGCTTTTAACACGATGACTGCCTTAGAGAAAGAAAATCCAATCAAATAAAGAACGTCATTAACTTGGTCTAAGATTGCTTTCTTTCTGGGTAATGGAAATCATGCCGAATAGTTGGAAATCAAAGTAAATTATCAGTACACTGTATTTTTAATTATATAAAAAGTCCCTTATAATTATTAAATAAGAATTGTTTATAAAACAAACATAAAAGTAAATTTCTACCAATAAAATTAATCAAAATAAATTAAAATAGTTTTGAGTCCAAGGGAGTTGAATTTTTTATACACTCAGATACAAAAAAACGCAACAGGAAGAATTTTGTTCAAATTTAAAGAATAACTGGTAAGATAAATACAAATTACTTTTAAATTGTTTATAGTCCGGGCGCTTGGTTAGAAATAATGAAGGGCACCTAGTGACTGCTACGATTGTTGATTCTGGCTAAAATGATCTAACAAAATGCGAGTATAAAAACACCTAAGAGGTACTGTTATTTGTAATGTTACTGTAATGTTTTTTATTTTCGTTGAAAAATAGTAGGTTTCTAAATAAATAGTAGTTTATTTACAAAAACATATATTTAATAAATATTTACAATTGATATAGGCAACATAATATTAAAATAAATAATAATTCTGAAGTATGTTGGCAGTGGTATCCTCCAGATGAGGTTAGGGGCGAATCTCGTTGCATAGCTTCGGAATGTTCAGCTGAAATGGAAAAAAAAATAAAATAAAGCAAGAAAAGTAATTTAGTAATTTGTTTTTTATTAGGTGCAACAATATGAATATTGATAGTTAACTTTATTAATTGTGACGTCTAATTAAAAGAATGGAAAACCAATGACCGAAACAGGTCAAATAAACATGGGAATTTCAGGATATAGAACTACATTTAAGAATACATGTTATAAATCAATGTTGGTTGTAATCTAACGTAAAACAGCATAATTTTTTTCAAAATTTCATAAGTATTTTATAACTATTATCTAAAAGAATTCCGTTAAAATATTCTGTAGCTTTCCTAGTTTATATTATTCTGGTTTTTATAGCTCTGATTTAATATCGAGAGGTGAAGACTAGCCCCAAAATGAAAAACGGCATATATCATCAATCTGTACAAGAATAAAGACGACAAAAAAAGTTCTAAGAACTACAGAGGACTTACTGTCATCAACTCAATCTGTAGAATGTACGAGAATATAAGTCAAAGTAGACTTGAAGATTGTTGTTAATACGCTAAAGATCAAAGTGACTTACGTTCTGGTCGATCTTGTAGAAACAATGTATTGTGTATAAACCAAACAATATAAAAGCACTTGGAATACAATATGGAGACACACATGGTATTTATTGATATTTAAAAGAAGTATGATAGTGTCCCATTAGTAAAGCTGCGGCAGGTGCTAAAAAACTAGAAAATTTTACCGATTTACATTAATGCTGTGAGGGAGTTGTACGACCATATGATAAGTTTGATAAAGATTGGACAAAAGGTGACAAAAAAGTTGAAGGTGATCTAGACTCGATAAATCTGCTGCATTACTCTTTTTTCTTCATCCTTACGTGCCATATCAAAATTATCTGGCGTTAATGATCTACATTACGAAGGCGTCTTGATCTTCTGCCACATGAAATAATTGTCCTGCATTTGATATCTCAGTGCATTAAAAAATGTTTTTAACCAAGAAATCTATTTTCTTCCTACACCTCTACTTCTTTGTTTGCTTTAAGAATTAGTTGTATTATTCTATATCGATTTTTTCTCATTATACGTCTCAGATAAGGCATTTACCGATGATCAATAGTCTTTAGCAATTTTTATCTTTGTTGACCCTAGTACTTCCTTATTATTTCTTTTTGTTGTCCAGAGTCTCTTTAGCATTGCTCCTACGCACTTTAAAATTTATTTGGAAGAAAGTTTGAATATTTGAAAAAGAAAATGTGAACCTACTGGTATAAGAATTAAAGTGTTGTAGAAAGTAATGGCAAAAAAAAGACTGGATGACACCAGCTATTCTAAAGATGATAGACGAAAGGAGGAAATACAAAAATAAGAACACAATCGATTACAAACGATTTAATACAGAAATACGAAGGAAAATAAAAGAGTCAAAAGAGAAATGGCTCGAAGAAAAATGTAAAGAAATAGAAGAATTAGAACATAGACATGATTACTTTAATATGTACAAGAAGGTGAAAGAATTTTCATTCATCCACAAAAAACAACATTGCCCACTGATAAATAACAACGGAGAGTTAATTCATAACACCAAAGATAAAATAGGAGAATGGGAAAAATTTATACAACAGCTGTTCCGAGATGAAAGAATAGACACTACAATAAATAATGTTACTGAAAGCCCACCAATTCTAAAAGTCGAAGTGGAATATGCCATTAAACAATTAAAGACCAACAAAAGCCCTGGACCTGATGAAGTTTTTCCTGAAATACTTAAATTGGTCGAAAGTAATAACATTGATTTGTTAGTAATTTTGTTTAATACAATCTACGATACTGGGGAAATACCAGAGGAATGGTTAGAATCTATTTTTATTCCCATTCCAAAACAAGCTAACTCCAGGCGATGCGCAGATTTTAGATTAATAAGTCTAATGAGCCAAGTGCTTAAAATTCTATTAAAAATACTTCACAATAGGGTATACAAAAGGTGTGAAAAGAAGTTGGATACGATCAATTGGGATTCAGAGCCGGAATGGGGACCAGAGAGGCCTTGTTTTCACTACAAGTACTGCTGCAGAAGTGTTACGACCAACAAAAGGATGTATTTCTATGTTTTGTAGACTTTGAAAAGGCATTTGATCGCGTAAACCATAATAAAATGTTAAATTCCTTGTAGAGCATCAACTTGGATAGTAAAGATCTCCGATTAATTAAGAACTTATATTGGAGGCAGAGTGCCAAGATTAGGATCGACGAACATACATCTAGAAATATTAGTATAAATAAAGGAGTAAGGCAAGGATGCATACTATCCCCTATGCTGTTCAATCTTTACTCGGAACTACTATTCAAGCAAGCCTTGAACAACCTTTCCACAGGAATAAAAATTAATGGAGAACCAATATCTAGCATAAGATATGCAGATGACACTGTCCTACTGGCTGATACAGACACAAACTTACAGGGGGTTATAGACCACCTCAAGGATGCTTGTCGAGAGTTTGGAATGAAGATCAACGAAAAAAAAAACAAAAGTAATGGTGATCCAAAGAAAACAGAATATCCCCTTACCTATAAAAATAAATGGGAATATTTTAGAACAGGTAAACCAATACAAATACCTTAACTGTTGGATTAATTGCATGTTGGACCCAGAACAAGAAGTTAAAGCGAGAATTGCTCAGGCTAGGGATAGTTTCTTTAAGATGCGCGTTCTATTCTGCGATACACATATAAATATTAAATTGAGATTAAAACTTGTAAAATGTTTTATCTGGTCTGTTCTTCTCTACGGAGTCGAAACGTGGACTTTAAAAATAAAGAGCCTGAATAGAATCGAGGCATTTGAAATGTGGGTGTACCGTAGAATTTTAAAAATTCCTTGGACAGCACGAAAAACAAACGAAGAAGTACTAGCTAGACTCAATGTAGAAAAAGAACTATTGAGAACAGTCAAAAGAAGAAAAACCAGTTATTTAGGGCATTTGTTGCGCAAGGAGAAATACTACATCCCTCAGTTGATAATAAAAGGCAAAATAGAAGGAAAGCGAGGAATTGGAAGAAAAAAATTGTCCTGGTTACGTAATATCAGAAACTGGACAGGACTTGGATTTGAGGAACTCTTAAGAGCAGCTGAAGATAGACAAATGTTAGCCACCATAACCGCTAACCTCCATGGATGGAGACGGCACTTAAAGAAGAAAGAAAGTATTGCTACATATGATTCAAAACATTGTGTAATAAAAAAAATACGTATCCAAAATAAAAGCAATGAAAATGAGTTATTGGCGTAGATGTTGCAAAACGAGTAGAAGAGATAGAGTAAGGAACACTGAAATCAGAGAGCGTATGGGCATAGATATGGACATCCTGGAAACTATAGAAACTCATATTTCGCACATCTAGTAACGTGGCCTAAATATTTCAGCTTTTTTGTTTTGTTGTGCTTTATGACCTCGCAATTCTTTTGTAGTCTTCCTCACACTTCTGCATTTGTAACTCGTTGAGTCCATGATATTTCTAAAATCCCTCTATAGCACCACATCTCAAATGATTCAACTTCTTTATATTATCCACTTTTAGTGTCCAGCTTTCCATTTCGTACAAAGTCGAGAACACGTAGAATCTTACAGCTTTTATCCTCAGCTCCAAAGCAAGGTATTGATTAACAAACATCGTTTGTTTTATATAGTATCGTATTTATAGTTATTCACTCTTTCGACTTGTTTTCCCTATATATTAGCCTTCCTACTGTATGTTGCTTAGAAATAATCATGCACCTGGTTTCTTAACGTTTATTTGTAGTCCATATTTTATACTGAATTGATGTAATTTATTTACTAAGCGTTGAGGTGCTTCTCGACTCTCTGCAAAAACAGCGGTGTCGTCTGCGAATCTTAGGGTGTTCAAGATTTTTCCGTTTATTGGTATAACCTGTTGTTCCTTTGATATTGCTTCCCTAAAAATAGATTTGCTGTACAAATTGAATAACAACGGGGATAGCACGTAACCCTGTCTAGCACCTCTTTTGATTTCTATAGGTTTTTTATCAACATTTATAGATTATCAAAGCCTTTTGATAATCTATAAAGCAGACATAGAGTTCCTGGTTCATATCTAGTCGTCTTTGCGCGCGAACGTTAAAATTGAACAGAGAATCCCCACCAACTGTAGGAAAAAAAGAAGACAGATACTGACAAGATGTCAGATACTGACAGAGAATGTAGCGTAGAAGTAATTTTAAACTGTTTGTCCTCGTTTTAGTGTAGTGTTTTGTACAATTTATGTTATTTTTAATGTTTCCACATTCTACGCTTGCCGGATAGTTCACATTTTGACGAAATGCCCCTGAAGATGCTATTTTAAGTGAAAGTACTTGGGCTAGATTTAATTAACTTGTGCTCGATAATAGCCTTATTTTCAAAGTTCTACCTATATGTTTATTTTGCTATGATGGCCTCGTCATATCATATTTGACTGTATATAAATAGTATGTAAGGCTTGTGCTATTATATATTTTTAAGACCGTTTGATATTTGCACTATCCTTTTTTTTTCATAGAAAAATTCAGTTAATAGTGTGGTACCTATTTTAATTGAAGATGTAGATCCTTTAAATAATTTTTATAAAGTACCTGTATAGTTTTCTTGATTTCTATTCTTCTTCTATTCTTGATGTGCAAGACACGTTTTTTTGTACCTAATCTTTGTGTCTCCTATTACAAGAAAAGTATCTCAGACAAAAATAAGTACTTATTCAATGATATATTAGAAAACACACACCCTATAAAAACAAAGCATGCAAACATACAAATACGCTCTTTAATTTTATTCTGATATACTGTACCTTCAACCACAATCAGCTTAACACTATCTGGTTTCACTGACGGCTGCATGCAAGTATATTGTCCGCCATCTTCCGATGACACTGAGGAGAGGCGGATTCTGCTGAATATTCTTTGATCTTTATCCTTGTATTCAGTCTCGACTGTAATATTATCCTTTGTGAACTAAAAATAGAAAAAGACCAGCTGAAAATATTGCAAAATTACGAGAGATTGGGGATTTAAGCTAAAGGAAATTTTGTATAATATATCTCTTAAAGGAAGGGATTTTGCAGGAATAAATGTGTCTTTGTGAATTTTTAAAATAGAGAAACGTGTTTAATAAAATTTTTGTGTTTTGTAGCAGATATTTCTAGGTATATATTTTTTATTTTTGCTCGACATAAAGCCATTTGTCATATTTCTCATATATATACATGTGATAGATTTTTTAAAATTTATTCAAATCTGCATCTACTACAATCTATGCAAAAGAATTAATTTACGAAATTAGTAAATATGTCATGGATTCGACCGTTTCTTGATGAAAATTCATTTTATTAAGCAAGAAAATACAGGTTAGGTCGTAGTTGAAGCAAAAACAAAGCTAATTACATCTCCCAAATTTGCAGAGAGATAGTGGAACATGGCTATCCAAAGGAACCGAGAGATTTATTTCAGAAGTTCAAAGTTGGATCTCAAACATGGTCTGTAATAGATAAGGAAGGTAATCTAAAGACTGATACTGACGAAATATTGGAAACATGGCGAACCTGAGCAGACACTAGCAGAAAATCAGTGGCTTCCTGAATACCCTAGAGAACCTACTGTCCTGCTGTGCAAGTCAGAGACTTAATTAAATCATTAAAGAGAAATAAATCCCCAGGCATTGATTCAATACCAGGTAAAATACTACATTTACTAGGTATGGAATTCAGGAAACTGGACATCTGATTGGTTTACCTAAAAATGAGTACTCTTAACAGCCTTAGTTTTGTATGTATTGTTATGCTAGAATATTTCCAAATTGTTACCAGTTTCATCATACCTGTTCTAGCAATAGTGAACCTTCTCTCTCAACTCAACTCTCTGTTATCCCCTTCGTCATTTATTATTAGGGACCCACGGTATATGAAATTATTTACTACTTCAAAGCCCCCAATTTCTTTAATGTGTTAAAGATTATTTCGAGCTCTGTCTAGTATCGTGATCTTTGTCTTAATCCTATTTAGCCTAGTCCATATGTTTTACATAGACCGATATGTTTTTTCTTTATAGTACCTTTCGCATAATGTATTCGCCGTAAATATTAAACAGAGTTGGCGAGATTATGCATCCCTGCCTGACACCTGCCTCTATTTTGAAATGGGTGTTGTTTATTTTTACTGTGCACTTATTATTTTCATATAGACTTCTAATTAGTCAAATTAAGTAGTGGGGTGTTCCCATTTCTACTAGTCTGGACCATAGCTGCTGCCATTTGACTTTATCGAAGCCTTTTGTGTAATCCACAAACCACATAAGTATAGAAGGATTGAATTCACGAGTTATTTCAGTTCACGATTAGCTGTCTTAAATTAAGGATGTGTTTGTTCTCTTGTGCCTTTTCCTGGGATAAATTTCGCTTGTTCTGATACCTGAGGCAATAGAAAAGCTTTTAGTCTTTCATATATTACATGAAGTAGAACCTTGCTTGTACGGGATATTAGGGTTACCGTTCTATAGTTTCTGCAATCTAGCGGAGTTCCGTTTTTGAATATAGGGTTGAAAGTGGGTGTTATCCCGTGGATGTTGTCCAGTGGATATTTTTCACTGGAGAGTGGTCCAACGGGCCACTCTGTTTTCAAAATCTTTTTGCAGATCATATGCATAACATTTACTCCAACATATCCAGTTACATCCATACACTTTTTGCAGTGAACTCGTCGTGATTTGCATTCTCGGGATCATTTGCATATAGACTTTGACAATATTTTCGACATACCTCTGCAATATCTGTCTTGTCATTTATAAATGTTAGTTTTGATCCCGACGATGCTATATAGAAAAGAACCCTGCGAGATGGAGACTGGAATGACAGGGAAAATAGGAGAAAACGGTTGACTGAAGGAACACAGTGAAAACTGTGGAAATCCTTAATAGTAGTAGTAGTAGTAGTAGTAGTTTTAATCTATTATTGATTGTGTGATTGGTTTAAATTTACTGGATAGATATATGACTTTGTTATACAGCTCATGGGATTCATATCGGTTTTCATGTCTCTCTAGTTCTTTCCATTCTACATTTCTTTGTTTATTTTTATCATTCCTACATGCTTTTTTAATTGCTTTATTTAAATATATTCGGTTATATAACGTCTTACGACGTTGTCCGACTCCCAAACGCTACTGTATTCTGTCTTGAGTTAAGTTTTTGTCCAGATTTCGAGCGCTTATTGCTTTCCTAACTCCCAGGTTCCAGCCTGTGGTGGTCTTCCTCGTTTTCTCTTCTCTGGGGTTTGCCACATTATCCTATTTTTAGGCAATCTTTTGTCCCCCATTCGGCTCACATGTCCATACCATATGAGCTGTTTTCTCTCAATATCCTCAACTATAGTGCCCTCTATACCCATTTTTTGTTTTATCACTTCATTCCTTATTCTGTCGGCTCTTGATATTCTCATCGATCTTCTGATGGCATCCATTTCCGTGGCTTCGGCCTTTTTCTTATATTGCTCGGTTATTCTCCATGTCGCAGCTCCATAATAGAGGCTAGTTTCAACCATTGTCTCATAGATGTTCCATTTTCTTTTCTTTGATATTTCTTTACTCCATAGAACTCCGTTCAAACATGCTATAGCTCTTCGTGTTTGTACAATTCAATGTTCTATTTCTCGTTCGTCTTTTCCACTACGGTCGAAGATGACGCCCAGGTATTTATATTCGTCACATGGATTTATTTTTTGATTGTCATCGATATCGAGTTGTTCTGCTTCAGCTCAAATTGAGAGGTATTTTGTCTTTTCTAAATTAATATTTAATCCCTATTTTTGGTATTCTTCAATTAGTTTTCTAAGCATGTATTCCATGTCGTCTTAGTCATTTGAGATCACCACCTGATCATCTGCAAACTGTAAACAGTTTGCAGATATGTAGTCCTGATCGTTCAATTGTATACCCATTCCTTTGATTTTCCTTTTCCATTATTTCAGAGCTGCAGAGATATAAATCTTAAATAAAGTCGGAGAGATACAACATCCTTATCTGAGACCCTTAGTAACTGCAAATTTGTCAGCTAAGAGCTTTCAGCTTTCACCTAAATTGCTTTATTTAACCTTGCTAATTTGTTTTTGTTGCTATGGTTTTGTATAATGACAGATTTCGTTCTCCTTCGCTTTTCCAGAAGTTGCAGCGTTCTGTCTATCATCCAGTGTTTTCTTTTGATCATCTGTTTTTCGCTTCTGGTTCTTTCTACAGAGGTTTGTATGGCATTTCTCAAAACTTCCCACATTTTTTCTGAGCATCTCTAAATATTTTCGGATTTGAAATCTCCAGCTTGTTTTGATTTTGTTGCGGCATTGTTATTTTTAGCTTTATCTTGAAGCAAACCTATAACAATTTATGATCGAATCCACATTCAGCTCTTGGTCTAGTTTTTATGTTTGTAAATCATGTCTTTTATCTGTTTCTAATCAATATATAGTCGATTTCGTTGTTGTATTCTCCATTTGGGCTGAACAACGTCGATAAACGACGGGCATGATGTTTTAACATTGTGTTTACAATGGGTAATCTGTTGCAAAATCTATTAAACGTTTTCCTCGGCTGTTTCTGATGAATAACCCTTCATTTAAATATTGCCGCGCTGTACCGAGCACATTATCTGGAATATTAGACACAACCACTTCTGTCATCTTTATATTTAAAAACTTGTTACCTTGTCAGATTTTATTTTGTCGTTAGGATAGAAATGGTAAAACATCCACAGTTAGATACATTAAACGCCGTTTCTCTATTTTGAGGTAAAGTTTTGTGAAGGTAATGTAAATAAAACATGTTTTAATAAATTTTTAATTTCAGAAACTCAGTTGTGTTACTAGTAAGTTATCAAAAGCAACCTTATATATAGATCAGTATCTCTTAATAGATGTATATATAGACCGATATAACACAGACTCAAAATTAGTTTTATTCGAACTGACACCATGAAACGGGTCATTTTACTTACATCAACAGAAAGTTCCTCGCCGTTGTGCAGCCACCGAACCGAAGGTTTTGTGTTTGTGGAGAAAAACAGTCGGTGAACACCCGATTGTAGAGATAGGGGTGATATTTCACACGCGAACGCCACCGGGGACCCATTTGGGACGTAAACTATACTCGGACCTTTTATTAGGGCCTGACTCACCCACTTCGAGCTCGAAGATTCGTCTTCCAGCGAGTTTTTATCACCTGAAACTAATAAACATCCTGTATTAGCTGTCTAGTATGATACAGAGTGGAAAAATAAAAAAAGTTTAATTGATATTGCATCTATATATTTTTGGTTAAAATAAAAGAATTTAATGATGAAATGTATTTTCGGTATACAGTTCAAAATTTGCAGAGACTGTTGAACAAGATGGTTAATAGTGCAAGAGAATATCTGTTTAATTATTCCAAAAAAAAATTTAATTAATCAAAAGATTTCAAAATTATTCCAAAATAATGTTGAAATTTTAATAGCTAACGGAAAAACTCCTAAGCAAATAAAAAATTACAATTACTTTGGCAGCATAATCAATCACAGAAATTATTAATCCAAAGAAATTAGGGATAGAGATAGAAAGAGCATGTATCCATTTTAAAAAACTAAGGAAGTTGCTGTGTTCAACGGATCTAAAGCTGGATTGAAGAGATTGACAAGGTGGTATATTATTTCAATATTTGTTATAGCCTATTCTCACCATAAACCAAGTCTGCTCTTTCCACCTAAGATTGAGAGAGGTAAAAGGAAGCTGAAGATCAGAAAGAACGGACACCAACTGACTTACTTTACTTTATCGTGTTCGGACATGTCATTCATAAAATTTCGCCCCAGTATCGGGTTACGTTAGTTCCCACAGTCACAAATTTTCAAGGGTACATCGATGAGGACAGTTTCTGCATGTAAGAAGATCTTGGTCTATTTTTTCCCATTCTTACCTTCGTTCTTATCTTGTTCATAGTTTTGAGGGGTTCTGCAAAACCTACTGCTTTATATAGGTTTGAGAGTATCGTTGGTTTCATGTACTCCGTTACTATCCTGCATGTCTCATTTACCGCAGTATCGACTTGTTTGATGTGAGCAGATCTACCCGAAAGCAAGTACGCATATTCAGCATTTGAGACACACAGTGCCTGTGCTTAAACTGCCAGGACGTGCACCCCATTTACTTCCTGTTAGCTTTCTGAGTATTCTGTTCCTAGTTGTTACTTTCCCTCTGAGTTACTCCGTTATATAGGTTGGTTTGTGGATTCTAATGTATTACCATTCCACGCATTTTGGAGGTTTTGCTTGCTTCCAATGCGCAAAGGTGGAAAGTGCAGACTTGGGTTTTTGAGGGACTGGGTTTCAGGGAATTCTGCAGGTAGTACGTTGTCATTGTTTTAGGGCAGTTTCGAGTTTCTGCTTCACTTTTTTAAAACCATTTCTTTGAGCACATATTGCAAGATCATCAGCATAGAGGAAGTGCTTGGTTTCGGTCGGAGTAGGTTGGTCGTTTGTGTATATATTAAAGAGCATTGGTGCTAAATCACTTCCCTGTGGGAGGCCGTTTTTTTGAACTCTGCACCTACTTACTTTACCCTCCAGCATAACGAAAAAATGTCTAAAAAATTTATTAAAATACTTTATAAAAGGTATGTAATTTAAAAACCCAATATCACAACAAAAGTATAATATAACTTAATAACGATGTAAAAAGGTTGTAAAAAATATGGAGGATTACTTTAAATCATGAATATGATATCTACATCTACTACATCTCAGTCTTGGAGACAATGAGTGCATTAAAGTCCTTCCCCCCTTTTTAAATTTAATGTTTGTTTCGTCCCTTCTAAGTGTTTTCTGTTTCTGTGTGTTTAAATTGTCCTTTATGGTTTTAACTTTAAAAATTTTATATACTTGACTTTGTAATCATTTACCATTTACGCCAATAGAACTTTATCAAATAAATTTGATAATTACAAGTTGAAAGAATTGCACACCCACACAATTTGTACATCTAATTTTAATAAAATAATAAAATCTCAATAAAATAACACACATTTCATAAATATATCTCTTGAATGAGTATAAATAACTTTTATATAATTCAATGGTATAGAACATCACTTTCATCTAACAAACAATCACATTACACCTATCTCTACTTCATTGGATAAAATCTGTCTCCTTAAGAACTTCTCGTTTATTGTCAAACAACTACAATAGCAGACTTGCTATTTCTGATGATAGTTTCAACCATGTTCTACCATCCATCCATTAATAGAGTACCGGCATGTAAGTAATGTTTTATTTATTTGCTCATTTATTAAGTTATTACAATTTAATAGACTATTTTATACCAATTTGTGGATCTTACCCTGTCGGTTAAAACTTTTTATACTTTTTATTTACTCTGAAAAACCACAGACATGTAATATTGGTATAATTACTGTAATTTATATCATCTACTTTGTTTATCTTTATAAGACAACACCCTTATATGGGTTTATTATTATTTCAGCATTTATTTAACTTTGTATCGAAACCTGAAGATGCTTTGCATTTTGTAGAAAGCGAAAACTGTCGTCTGGATAGTTAAATTAAATTGATTGTGAGTAAGTCTTATTTATTATTTCTTTACCTATACCTTTATATACAGCTTAAAACTTCTAAAAATATACATGAAAATTGTAAAATAGAATAGAAACTTAATACAGCTAAGCAAAGGTTTAATACCCTACAACTCTAAGATCTATTTCTACCAGTATATCACTCAACAATAGTGCAAAAGCATATAGCGCCGTGTCTCCATACTACGAGTACTTTGTTCGTGAAATAAGGGCTTTAGGTAAATATATAATGTATTCTCTTCCGTAAGGTGATTAATAGCACTTCCCCAAATTTCCGTGGAGAGAATGAGCCAGTGATATTTCAAAATGCCAGCCTTTCTTTGTCTCGTTCTAAGAAAAAGGCCTAATGATGATTTTTTCCCTATCGTTGGCGGGCGTTAAAACTTCAAGAAGTGGCATATCAAAAGAGTAAACACAAAAAAATGGAAAGACGCACGCAACAATATATCAGTGTCAGACTGAGGGAGTTTGAGTGGAAAATAATATTTGTTCGTAATATTCATAAGACTTTTTTCTTGGTTTTTGCCTGAGTTTTTTGGAGTAATTATTTTTAGGGTTTTTTTTCTCGTTTTTGCGTTACCGCTATCTTAATCAATTTTCGTATAATGATGTCTAAAATGAGTTTATGTTTAAAATAGATTAGTCGATCGAGTGTTGGTCTTGTCAAGAGAAAATATAGAGTGTCTGCAAAATAAAGTATTTAAACAATATATATATATATATATATATATATTATATATATATATATATATATATATATATATATATATATATATATATATACAGGGTGAGTCATGAGGAACTTTACATACTTCTACCATATGTAGAGTCCCTCAGGGAGCATATCATGTGGCCACTAAAAATGTCAACTCTTCTTCTTTATTAATTAACAGGGTAATTTGTGTAATTGACCATTTATTTCATTTTACTGTAGTGTTTATACGGCTCATTTGATTTTTTTAATTTTTGCATGATACAGTACACTACTATCAATCATTCGACTGGTATTAGCTAAACTAAAAAATTCCAGGACTGGCTTTGGAAAAATTAATTTAGGGATTCGTATTAAATATTACACCCTGTATATATATTTTTTAAAATGCAATAAGTGATTTTCAAACTACATAAATAGCCAATGAAAACGACATATGCGACAATGTTGTCGCACTTTTATTAAATTTTTAGTGAACGATCAAATCTTACCAAAAATAGAACAACCATAATGAAGTATCAAATTATAAGGTATAATTTCACTTATAAGGTCACTTTGTATTATCTCTACGAAAGAATCAATTGTTTTTCAATTTTAAATTTTTACTCATAGATCGTATTGGGGCATTATTTTCGATAAATAATAAATTAAATTGATTAAAAAGTCAAACCTCTTGTATGTGTTAGTTTTTGTTGATTGTAAATGAATAAAATTTTATGTCAAATAATAATACATTGCATCAACTGTACTAAATAAAAATAAATCTAAAAAAGTTTAAAATGAAGGTTGGCGTTGACCGTTTGACGTTTCTTGATATTTTATACCCATTGTCGTTATTGTCATTATCAATTGTTATTTATGTGTACAAGAATACATATTTCTTCTGTCATATCTACGTTACGTACATTGTGTTAGTTTTGGTAGAGCTTTTGTTACTTTCGTTCAAAATGCCACATCAGTTTTCGACCACAGAATATGCAGACATAATAATTGTTTATGGATTCTGTAATGGGAATGGTAGGGCTGCTAGTAGAGAATATCGCAGGACATTTCCTAATCGTCGAACTCCCAGTCATCCAACATTTGGGTCAGTTTTTAATTATTTGCGAGAAAATGGCACTTTTCCTAGTGGAACAACAGGGCGACATGTAGATGAAGCGCAGGAAAATGACATAATGGACGCCGTTACTATGAATCCTACAATAAGCACTAGACAAGTAAGTCGAGAACTCAATGTTACTCAATCAAAAGTAAGTAGAGTCTTACAAAAAATAATCTATACCCATATCACATTCAAATGGTTCAGCGACTACATGCTGGAGATGAGATCGATAGGTTGGAATTTTGTAGATGGATTAACTATAATCGACCAACGCTATATAGGACACTATTTACAGATGAAGCCCAATCTACCAGAGACGGGATAAATAATTTACGAAATTCACATGTGTGGGCAGAAGAAAATCCCCATGCTATTCAAGAACGTCGTTCTCAGTTAAGGTTTTCGGTTAACGTGTGGATTGGTGTCATAAATAACCAATTAGTAGGTCCTCACTTTTTTGATGGTCCATTAATAGGGCAGGTCTATTTGAACTTTCTACAAAATATTTTGCCGAATTTGCTTGCCAACGCGAACGTTGCTATCCGAGGGATGTATTTTGAGCATGATGGGGCACCCCCACACTTTTTACTGGCAGTGAGACAACATCTTAATAATGTTTATGGCAACAGGTGGATAGCACGTGCAGGTCCTATTTTGTGGCCTTTAAGATCCCCTGATTTCAATCCCGTTGATTACCATATTTGGGGACGATTAAAGCAACTAGTTTACGCAGTGAATATTAATAACCGACAACAATTAATTTATAGAATTATACATTGTTGTAAT